TCATTCTCACAAGTGATGGCTGAATGCTATTTTTGCACCACTGTAATTCCATTACTTTTAACAAAGATGTTTGTGCTTTACATAAGTAGATGTGAAAAAAAGAATCTGGCCCATTGACTTCACTGGGACAACTAATGGGAGTAAGAATCACTCTCAGGGGTAACTGGTTGCATGACTGGCCTTTAGCTCAGACAACAGAAAGTTACCCAAAGCCCAATCCACTGAAGTTAATGGGGTTGTTGCCTCAGCACTGATGCCAGGATTTGGCCCAATGTTATGAAATTTGCTTCAGACCAGTACTTTATTCTGATGTGAGGACAATATAAATGGCCACACCTGCACCCTCAAAAACATTCCCTTCTTCATCATCAGTATTTTTATAGCAGTTTTTCCTGCCCTCCCTTCAGTGTGTCTATAATAAGATAATAAGAAAAGGAGTACTTGTGGCACCTTAGAGTCTCTAAGGTGCCACAAGTACTCCTTTTCTTTTTGCGAATACAGACTAACACGGCTGTTACTCTGAAACCTATAATAAGATAGTATTTTATCATGACAGCCAAAGCCTTAGCTCCCATAAAACCACCCTGAGCTGGTACTATCCTTATTTTATGTTTACTTTGCATAACAATTTGGCAGTTTTTTTAGTTACTCAGTTCTTATCACCCATTCTAGTGGCTAATATGTACTCTTGATAGGTGGCCATAATATGACTTTCTCCCATTGATAGTCCCTAATAGTGATAGCTTAAGGCCCCCCTCTTACAAATACAAACATGATTAACCTTTAAGTACATTGAATGAGGAGCCTTAACATGCATGGGTGACCTGCTGCCTAATTTGTCTTTTCAATTGATGTTCTCAGTCATCATCCTCCCTCATTTCCTAACCTTTTGTTTATTTCTTGTAGCTGTTGTTTCTTGTCATAATCCTAGATTATGAAGGCTTCTTTTTCTGCTTGTTTGTACAGTGCCTAGCACAATAGGCCCCGATGTTTGCTAAGGTCTTTTAAGTGCTATTGTACTATTAAAATAACGGCATGAAAAACATTTCCAAAGGTTTCTACTTCTCCACTGCAGAGGGGAAGGTGGAGGCACCCCCTTCCCTCGGACATTTGGGGAAGGGTGAGGAGTAAAATAGAAAATTTTGTTGCCAAAGCTTTTGGGCTAGAGTGCTTCCAGAAATAAGAGGTAACAAAAGCAGGGGTAAGCAACCTCACCTAATGGAACAGGTCGAAAACCAGCTCCGCCTATGAGAAAAGGAGAACTTGTGGCACCTTAGAGCCTAACAAATTTATTTGAGCATAAGCTTTCGTGAGCTACAGCTCACTTCATCGGATGCATGGATCCGCCTATGGATCTCCAAACACTCTTGCATGGCTTGGGAGAGCCCTCTGGTTTTCCTGAACCTTCCCCCCCCCCCCCTTTATTTAGAGGTAAATGTGGAGTCCTGTTGTTGTGAAAGTGGGAAGATGTCAGATGGGGGGCGAGGGGGGGTCCTACCAGGGCCGAGGAGGGATCCTAGGAGGAAGGCTCTGCTAAAGCACATGTTAAAGCAGTGACTCATCCCCTGCTATGAGTAATCACCGCCTAGAACAGCTTGTTTCAGGGCCGGAATATGCGCAGCGTGTCTTGTCACGGGAGCAGAAAGGTTATTGTGACTTAGCTGGGGGGGGCAGTGTTACCGCCTTAGATCCGCAGCCCTCTCTCCCTCCGGGGGGGGGGGGGGCACAGCTCTCTGCGGCCAGGCCAGCGCCCCTCCAGGCTTTCCACCAGGTCACCGAGGGACAAACGTTGCCCACCTGCGCTGCGCCCCTGGAGCTGCTGAGAGCCCCAGGCCCCGCTCTTGCTGCCAGGGGAGGGAGGATGGACAGGCCTCGCCTGGCAGCGTGACTTAATTCTGGCTGGGACCGAGGAAATGCCAAGGGGTCCCCCCCCCCCCAGTCCCAGCAGCCCACAGAGGAGAGGCTCCAGGAGCGGGCCCCTGGGCTCCCGGGGAGGCAGCGCGAGGAGAGGGACCTGTCAGCGACGGGGCAGACTCCAGCCCTCACTTCTGAAGGAGGGAGCCGACTTGCTATTGCTAGGGATGGTGTTAGGCGCTGAGCGTCCTGGCTGACCTATTTTCCGTGCGAGTTCCCCACTAGGGCACTGGCGCTTCCAGCTCACCCGGCTGCCCCCCACCCGCCGTGCCCGGGATCCCTGCACCCTCAGCTACCCCCCTACCCGCCCTGCCCGGGATCCCTGCACCCTCAGCTACCCCCCTACCCGCCCTGCCCGGGATCCCTGCACCCTCAGCTACCCCCCTACCCTCCCTGCCCGGGATCCCTGCACCCTCAGCTACCCCCCCACCCGCCCTGCCCGGGATCCCTGCACCCTCAGCTACCCCCCTACCCGCCCTGCCCGGGATCCCTGCACCCTCAGCTACCCCCCACCCGCCGTGCCCGGGATCCCTGCACCCTCAGCTACCCGTCCCTGCACCCCTCCCTGCCCTACCCGGGATCCCTGCACCCTCAGCTACCCCCCTACCCGCCCTGCCCGGGATCCCTGCACCCTCAGCTGCCCCCTCCTACCCGCCGTGCCCGGATTCTCCCCAGCTCCCCCACCCGCCCTTGCCCAGGATCCCTGCCCCCCAGCTGCCCCCTACCCGCCCTGCCGGGATCCCTGCACCCTCAGCTCCCCCCACCCACCCTGCCCGGGATCCTTGCACCTCCAGCTGCCCCCCACCCGCCCTTGCCCGGGATCCCTGCACCCTCAGCTGCCCCCCACCCACCCTGCCCGGGATCCCTGCACCCCCAGCTGTCCCCCACCCGCCCTTGCCCGGGATTCCTGCACCCTCAGCTACCCCCCTACCCGCCCTGCCCGCGATCCCTGCACCCTCCCCCCCCTTGCCCGGGATCCCTGCACCCCCAGCTACCCCCCTACCCGCCTGCCCGGGATCCCTGCACCCCCAGCTACCCCCACCCGCCGTCCCCGGGATCCCTGCACCCCCAGCTACCTCCCTACCCGCCGTGCCCGGGATCTCTGCACCCCCACCCCCCACCCCCCTTGCCTTCCTGCACCCTCAGCTGCCCCCCACCCGCCCTTGCCCGGGATTCCTGCACCCCCAGCTACCCCCCACCCGCCCTTGCCCTGGATCCCTGCACCCCCAGCTATCTCCCGCCCTACCCGGGATCCCTGCACCTCAGCTACCCCCCACCCGCCCTGCCCGGGATCCCTGCACCCTCAGCTGCCCTCCCTACCCCCCGCCCTGCCCGGGATCCCTGCCCCCCAGCTGCCCCCACCCGCCCTTGCCCAGGATCCCTGCCTCCCCAGCTGCCCCCCTACCCGCCCTGCCCGGGATCCCTGCACCCTCAGCTGCCCCCCACCCGCCCTGCCCGGGACTACCTGCACCCTCAGCTACCCCCCCACCCGCCCTGCCCGGGATCCCTGCACCCTCAGCTACCCCCCCCCTACCCGCCCTACCCGGGATCCCTGCACCTCAGCTACCCCCCCCTACCCGCCCTACCCGGGATCCCTGCACCCTCAGCTGCCCCCTCCCCCACCCGCCCTGCCCGGGATCCCTGCACCCTCAGCTACCCCCCACCCGCCCTGCCCGGGATCCCTGCACCTCAGCTACCCCCCTACCCGCCCTGCCCGGGATCCCTGCACCCTCAGCTACCCCCCACCCGCCCTGCCCGGGATCTCTGCACCCTCAGCTGCCCCCCACCCGCCCTACCCGGGATCCCTGCACCCTCAGCTACCCCCCCACCCGCCCTGCCCGGACCCGGGATCCCTGCACCCCCAGCTACCCCCACCCGCCCTGCCCGGGATCCCTGCACCCCAGCTGCCCCCACCCGCCTCCCACCCTACCCCCCTGCCCGGGATCCCTGCACCCTCAGCTCCCCCCCCCCCCCCTGCCCGGGATCCCTGCACCCTCAGCTACCCCCCTACCCGCCCTGCCCGGGATCTCTGCACCCTCAGCTACCCCCCTACCCGCCCTACCCGGGATCCCTGCACCCCCCACCGCTGGTCTACCCCCCTACCCGCCCTGCCCGGGATCCCTGCACCCTCAGCTGCCCCCCCCACCCGCCGTGGCCGGGATCCTCTGCACCCTCAGCTACCCCCCCCCCCCCCCCCTACCCCGCCCTACCCGGGATCCCTGCACCCTCAGCTACCCCCTACCCGCCCTGCCCGGGATCCCTGCACCCTCAGCTACCCCCCCACCCGCCCTGCCCGGGATCCCTGCACCCCCAGCTGCCCCCCACCCGCCCTTGCCCGGGATCCCTGCCCCCCCAGCTACCCCCCCACCCGCCCTTGCCCGGGATCCCTGCACCCCCAGCAGCCCCCCACCCGCCCTGCCCGGGATCCCTGCATCCCCAGCTACCCCCCCCGCCCGGGACCCTGCACCCCAGCTGCCCCCCACCCGCCCTGCCCGGGATCCCTGCACCCTCAGCTACCCCCCACCCCCCTGCCCGGGATCCCTGCACCCTCAGACCCCCACCCGCCCTGCCCGGGATCCCTGCACCCCCCCCCACCCGCCCTGCCCGGGATCCCTGCACCCCCACCCGCCCTGCCCGGTCCAGGCACCAGAACTGCTGCACATCCCGCTCCCTGGAGCCGGGGTCCGTGTAAACCCGGCTCCATCCTGCAGCGCCTAGCTCCGCGCAAACCCCTGCGCCCCGCTGCCTCCCGCCCAGAGCCCGGGGCCCCGATCCCGCGGGCCCCGCAGTCCAGGAGCCGCTTTGGGACCTGAATCCGGGCCCGGGCTCGGCTGGCGGGCCGAGCGCGCCCCCGGGGAGCAGAGCCCCAGTTTCCCGGCGCATTCCCGCCATTCCCTCAAGGCGCGCTCCCGGCCCCCGACTCCCAGCAGGCGCGCTCCCGAGGCGCGGCGCGCGCCGGGCGAGCGGCTCCCGCCCCCGAGCTGGGCGGCGCGCGCCCGGCTCGGCAGGCGCGCGCCCGGCTCGGCAGGCGCGCGCCCCGGTGCCAGGGACCGAGGGAGGGGTGGAGGGAGCGCGCCGGTGCAATGCCAGGGGGACGGGCTAAGCCCGCCGCCGAGTTACACAACCGGCCAGGGCAGCTCGCCCTGCAAATGTGAGTTTCCCCGAGTCAGCCCGGCTCGGGGCAGCCCGCCTCAGCCCAGCCCTGGCCGAGCCCCTGCCCCCTGCTCTGGCTGCGGCGGTGGCTGGAAGAGACTCGCGTGACATGTTCCCTCTGGGCAGGGGCACCGGCTGGCTTGTGGTGACCCTGGAGGCGGGGAGAGCGCCTGGCATGGCATTGAGCCCCCCTGCCCCTGGCAACGCATCCTCCTCCTAGACGGGGTAGGTACAGGGCGAGCTGGGGCGGGGGGCGGGGGGGCTCCTGGCATTGCGGGGCGCAGGGCGGGGGGGTTGCTCTGCAGGGGTAGCCGGAGAGCGAGGGAGATGCCGGTGCCAGACACTCATCCCCTTCCCTAGAGGTGTGTGTGTCACAGGAGTTTCTGCAGGATGGAGGGAATTAGATCAGCCTGGCGGCCAGATTCCTGCTACCTTCGGGCCTGTGCTCCGCTGAGAACACCTCCAAGGCACCCCCCAAGACAATCGTTCCCTTCGAATCAGGACTTTTCGGAGCACCAATCCTGCTTAAACTCCTGCTGAAGCTGGGCACCTTCAGTCAGCCCACAATTAGCTTTCAAACATGTACGTTTCAGCCATAAATTAAACTCTTATTTAAAAAATATAAAAATCCACAGAGTGAAAATGAGAGAACCACACCGGGCATGGAGTCGAGTTTTTGTGAATCAGAGAATATATATATATTTTTTTAAGTCATTCTGGTAGTTTTAAGCTTAAATTTGGCAGCCATGGAAGCAGCAGAGGAGACTCATAACTTACCTGTGGACGGTTTTGGGGTGAAAGTGAGTGACCGTATGAGTTCCAAATGCCAGGCATAGTTGGAATGACAGTGTGTCATGGTGCTGCGAAATCATTGGAGGGAAATAATAAAAGAGCAAGGTTTATGTTATGTTTTGTTTGTTTTAGTGAAAGGAAAATTGATCTGCTCTAGGATTTCTTTCTATTTTGAATTTCTATAATTCTGTGAATCTGGTAGTAGTAACATGCAGCAGGAAGAAAAATTAAAAGCCAAGTCATGTTCCTATATATAGAATCTAGAATCCAGGTTAAAAAGTTACTCCTCCCAACATAGATATTGTGCTTTTTGGTTTTGCAAACTGTTTACATTAAAAGCAAGGGAATGTGAAGATCCAAGTATGTTTGAGAATGATGACACCTAGATGTATTGTTTCTAATAATTGAAATTGTAAAGAGATTGCTCTGGATGGTTTATATTTGAAACACATTTTGAAGCTGAGGTTATGTGACTCACATGGTGTCATACCTATTTTATAGAACATTTGCCCTTTGTAAAATTCCACAATCCTGTGTAGAATTGGAGCCACTGCACTTCCAGCTTTGCCAGTCATCTGAACAGTCTTCAAGGTAGATCCCTCATAAGTAGATTTAAGAGCAATCCCATAGTCCGATATGGGGGCAGAACTGACACTTAAATTGAAGAAGGCTTTATTCTGATGGCAGTTGTATTCCTGAGCTGGGGAGTAACCCCAGAAATTATATGGCTGAAGTCAAAGCCATTAAAAATTTACCATCCTTTATCAATTTACCAGGGTGTGGTTATTTATTACCCTGAATTTTTATTTTGTCTTGGGCAGTGAAAGCAGAGGTATTGATCTAATTAATGAGATGAGATGTTCTATTTGTGTAGATGGTGAAATGTCAAGAGACACTTCATTTCTTAAACAAAAACTACTGAGTCACCTGTGCTCTCCTCCCCTAATTTCACTGGATTGTACCTACTGATACCTGGAACTTTGGTATAGCAACGTGCCTTATGTTGGATACTGTTAATGATAAGTAGGACTTATTCTTTGTAGAGTCATACAAACACTAGGTAATAGTCTTGCTGGTAAATCCACATTTCTAGGTTATACTGTAGAGACCGTTTCAAATACTGAAGAGCCTGAAATGGAATTTTTGTGCGTAGATTATTGTAAATTGTATGCTTTTTTTAAAAACACAAACTACAGATCAGAGTACTTTGCAGTAGTTACTTGATCAGTAAAATCAGTTTGGGCTCTGTGTACATGAGAAGAAGAGGCATTTTATAGGTACACAGCACCCTGTGGACTAATATGCAGTAATAATGATAACACTATGGACTTCTTATCAGACCAGGCTCTGACAAATATAGTAAACTGTAAAGAGGAGAAAAGTATTCATCACCAGTAAAAGAGACGTAATGCTAATGGTTATTAAAGAAAAACCAGTTAAGGTAAAACGAGCCTCCATTAGAATGATATTGATGTGAATCTTTCATATCTCTCCGGTTAACTCTGTTTACAGTTGAAGCTCTGAAAACTGCTAGGAGTTGAAACCATGGAAAATATATAAAGGATCAGAAGAATTTATTGGTTGTTCTGTTTGTTTTACTTATTAAAATATATCAGTTTGATTGATTTTAGTTAGTATAAAGTTAATATGGCTTTTGAGTCTAAAGTGAGTTAGTGTAAGTGAGTAAAGCTGGTGAGACATTCTGAAAATAATTGAAATTTCACTGAAAAATGTTAAAAAATATGTGCCGGATTCTTTTCCTATTTTCCAAGCAGCTCTATATATGACTGTGTAAAATGATTTTACCAGTTTAAGACTCATATTGAGCGTCCACATATTCAAAAGCAGCTCAGGGTTAAAGATTACTTTTGGCATGTGAGTAGTCCATAATAAAAATCGCATGGTATTGGTAGCAAAATCAAGCAGCAGAGATATTGTTATTAAATCCAGCTTCTTCTCAGAAGTGGCAACAAGAATTTGGTAGCAATGCTTTACTATTCAGACTTCAGGCTTGCATACACACACACAAGTTGTACTGCTTTAACCAAACTGGTATAGTTAAAGCAGCGCACCCTCCCTAGTGTGGACTCACTTAGACCGGTATAAAAATACTTATACCCATACAGCTTATTCCTATATGGAGGGCCCTACCAAATTCTCGGCCATGAAAAATGCATCACGGACCGTGAAATCTGCCCCCCTCCCCCGTGAAAACTGGCCTTTTGTGTGCTTTTACCCTATACTATACAGATTTCACGAGGGAGACCAGCGTTTCTCAAATTGGGGATCCTGACCCAAAAAGGAGTTGCAAGGGGGGTCACAAGGTTATTTTGGGGGGTTGTGGTGTTGCCACCCTTACTTCTGCGCTGCCTTCAGAGCTGGGTGGCCGGAGACCGGCAGCTGTTGTTCAGGCACCCAGCTCTGAAGGCGGCACCCTGCCAGCAGCAGCGCAGAAGTAAGGATAGCTGTGCCGCAACCCTCCCCCCCCCATAACCTTGTGACCTCCCCCACAACTCCTTTTTGGGTCAGGACCCCTACAATTATAACACTGTGAAATGTCAGATTTAAGTAGCTGAAATCATGAAATTTACAATTTTTAACATCCTATGACCGTGAAATTGACCAGTACGGACCATGAATTTGGTAGGGCCTTATCTATATGGGATGAGGAATAAGCTATACCTGTGTAAGGCACCTTTATCCTGCATCTATGCTAAGAGTTGTACTGGTATGACTCTTTCAATTAAAAAAAATTACCCCATAGCCAAAATAGCTATACCAATACAAAATTGTGTAGACCAGGCTTAAGTAGTGTGTCGCGTGTTATTGAAATGATATACCGCTAGATCATTCTACTTCCAAACATCTGGTAAGTCAGTAATGCAGAAATTCACTGACATTTATTCCCTGTGACCTGATGAGACCATTCTTACATCCCTATTCATCTGACACACATTAGGTCAAATTCTGCTGTTTTACATATGTAACCTCACTAAAGTACCATTGAACCAAATTCTGCTCTCATTTTCATTGCTGTGACCTCAGTGATTTCAACTGGATTGCGGTGTATAAATGAGAGCAAAATTCGATCCAGGGAACTCAGTTGTGCCTTTAAGGCCCAAGTCCGTGTCGGTGATGGTGCAGAGATACACCTCCCGAGGGAGAGGTCTGTGAGGTATGTGCCTCAGAGAGGTGCAGTGTTACCCAATGCACCCCAGCATGCAGGGGGAGCACAACCATAACTCTTCCCCATCGGGCTAATATTTATACCACCTTCATCACCATAACATCTGAGCACCTTGAGGGGGCGCAGCATACACTCCTGTCTGTGGCCAGCTGTCAGGGTGATGCTGTCCATTTCAGATGAGTGCAAGGATTCAAGTTGTGGCTGGCCCCTGTTTAGGGCAAAAAGGTGATAGGCTCCCTGTATCCTGCACTTTGGATGAAATGCACGTCCATGCAGTGGGCCCACACAATGCCTATTTACCACTTAAATCCCACATCAACCCTGGTTTTTAGTGGGTTGTCCCTCTGCACAGACATGGTTCACTTGCCGTGCATCCACACAGCCCACTCCACAGAAGTACGTGGAATTGCATCGACTGGCATGCAGTTCATAACAGAATTTGACCTACTTTATTTCTCATTCCAGAGCTTCGGCCTTGTCTATGCACAGAAGTTGCACCAGTTCAACTTCAGTCAGTTTTTAAACTGAGGTAATTTAACTGGTCCAACTCTTATTTGCATTTAAAAGTGGCTTATTTGGGTTTAGTTCAAACTTATTCCTAAGTGGCTTAAATGAAAGCAGAATAACCCACTATTACACTGAAATGAAAATGTGCACTGGTTTAACAAAATTGGTTTAAAAATCACACCTGTATTGTAATGATGCAACTTTGTCATGTAGACAAGCCCTTCTACAGAGCCTGAAATAAGGTGTGGATGAGAAGCAAAATGTAGTATTAACAAAATACAGTGTAACTATTAAAAGGTCCTCAGGAGACTGAACATGATTCATAATATAGTGCAAAGATGGTAAATCGTGGCACTAGATTTAAAGTTACCCCTGCTCCCATTCAGATCCAACCATGTTAGCAGACCTCTTGTGGATTGTATGTAGGGACCTATAGAAGTATTAGAAGATTGCCAGCTGCAAATTATAAATTATCATTCTTCACAGGAACAGTTTTGACATAGGAATGTTGAATGCGTAACGTAAGTCATGTTCCACTAGAAAAAAGAAAGCCGCCTGGATGAGCCTGAAGCAGCGTTTGCAAACTTGATAAATTCTCTATTCAAAGAGATTCAAATATTGGAAAATGGCAGCACAGATGAGGATAATCCTGAGATAGTAAAAGAAGAAGTATGTTAACCAAACCCCAATGAGTTGTTAAAGTGCAATTTTGCCAACACAATTTTATTTAATTTTGTAG